TATACAGTAGACATGTGCAATTTGTTTCGGTCCGAATATGAATTCGGACGAATTTCGGGAAATTCGGACATTCGGGTACTTCCGAATGTCCGAAGTGTCGAATTGCCAAGGTCCCGAAGTTCCAATTACCGAAGTTCAGAAATTACCGAATTCCAAATGTCAAAGTGCTGAAGTGCCGAAGCACAGTATTGCCTAAGTACTAATATACTTACCCAGTGAAAGAAGAAGAAGAATGTTCCATTGTATACAATTTTAAATAAAAAGTATACAAACATAGCCAGGATTCAGCTGTAAGCATTTGCAACACTTACAACAATCAAGTAATATACATTCATATAAAATGTAAGTTACTTGGCCAGTCAATGTAATTACAGGAATGAATAAGTAGATAACTCTCTAATTCCCACAGTATTAGGGAGCTATCTACTGAAAAGGCTGAAAGACCTAAATTGGTCTTTCAGCCAAATTTACTAATACTAAGTAAATATTACTTAGTATTAGTAAATTATGCCCCTACTCGCGGTATGTCTATTAAACAGTGAGCACCGGCGGCCCTAAATACTACCACCGACCCTAAATACTAATAAGGGGGGGACCTAATGTCCTCCCCCCTGGCCCCCACCCCTGAGCGGTGGGTGGGGGCCCTAAATTATAATAAGGGGGGGGGTACCTAATGTCCTCCCTCTTGGCCCCCACCCCAGAGCGGTGGGTGGGGGCCCTAAATACTAATAAGGGGGGGACCTAATGTTCTCCCTCCTGGCCACCACCCCAGAGCGGTGGGGGCCCTAAATTGGAATAGGGGGGTACCTAATGTCCTCCCCCCTGGCCCCCACCTCTGAGCGGCAGGTGAGGGCCCTAAAAAAATGTGTCCCCCCCAGGTGACTAGGGGTCCCCAAACACCTAGTCACCCCCTGCCCCCCCAAGAATTATCCCCCTACCTACTCCCCTCACCCTATAAATAATGAGGGGGGGACCTTTAACTAAGTACCTGTAAAAAAATAAATAAAACTTACCATTCAATGTTTTCTTTCTTCTAACAAATTACCCCTAGTCACCTAGTTGCTCAGGGGTGGGGGCCGGGTGGGAGGACATTAGATGCCCCCCTTATTAGTATTTAGGGCCCCCACCCGCCACTCAGGGGTGGGGGCCAGGTGGGAGGACATTAGGTCCCCCCCTTATTAGTATTTAGGGCCCCCACCCGCCACTCAGGGGTGGGGGCCAGGAGGGAGGACATTAGATGCCCCCCTTATTAGTATTTAGGGCCCCACCCACCGCTCAGGGGTGGGGGCCAGGAGGAAGGACATTAGGTGCCCCCCTTATTAGTATTTAGGGCCCCCACCCACCGCTCAGGAATGGGGGACCCTATTTTTTTAATGTTTTTTAATAGTGAACAGCCACAGGCTGCTCACTGTTTAAAAGACATGCCCCTACTCGCGGTATAGCGAGTAGGGGCAAAATGTACTAATACTAAGTCATTTTTACTTAGTATTAGTAAATTTGGCTGAAAGACCAATTTAGGTTTTTCAGCCTTTTGGTAGATAACTCCCTAATACCGTGGGAATTAGGGAGTTATCTACTAAGTGGCTGCAAGAGAAATGCCAAAGTCCCGAAATTCCGAAATGCCGAAGTTCCAAAATTCCAAAGTTCCGAAGTTGCTGAAGTTCCGAAGCGTTGAAGTGTTTGAACACTAATCTATTGTGTGGAACCGTATTAAACACCTTGGCTATATCCAAGTAGATTACATCCACTGCAACAATCTAATCTATTCTTCCACTTCTTTGTAGAATGCTATTACGTTAGTTTGACATGACCTATGTTTCATAAAACAATGCTGATGTTTGTTAATAATGTTATAACCATTAATTTTTTTTAAACTATCCCTTAATAACAACAGACGTTAAGCTCCCTGGTCTCTAATTTCCAAGCAAAGATTTTGAAACCTTTTTGAATATAAGAACAACATCTGCCTTCCTCTAATCCTCCAGTACAATTCCTGAAAGAAAAGAATTCTGAAAGATTAAAAACAGAAGTTCACTTATTTCCACACTTAGCTCCTTAAGTACTCGTGAGTGAATACTGTCAGGCCCTGGAGTTTTGTTAACATTAACTTTTTTCGTTTCTGCAGCACCTTGTCTTGAGTCATCCAATCACAATTGTTCTGCAAGTGTTTTGCAGCAATTATTTTCATATTTCTTGCCATAGGTTCCTCCTTACTATATACATTAATAACTAATAGTTATTTAATACTTCTGCCTTTTCTTCATTAACTAACACACCCATCTCAGATTTCAGTGTACCAACACCTAACATTTTTGTGTTTTAGAATGGATGTTCATTTTTATTTTTTTCAATTTGATTTTGCCATCACTTTTAAAAACAGGCCTGGAGCATTTGTTCCTAAAACAGAATATTTCAGGATATAATTAATAAACCCCTTAACCAGATCATCATGAAGAGTGGATAGGGAGTAGAAGTCAAGAACCTGAAACTACTCACTATGAATAGAGGATTCTGCCTGAAACCCAGAGTGATGAAATCCACTTCACCACTGGTTTTTGGAGGGGCCTGGTTGCCAGCCTCCTGTGATAACCCATGTTCAAAAGTACTGTTTCTGCCCCTTGGATTTTTAACTGGAACAAATTCAAACATGTGGCGGCGGCCATCTTAAACTGTCCAGCAGTGTTTTGTCGTCGAGTGTATCCAACTGTTTTGGGCATGGGACCATGTGCACAATGGGGCAAAAATAAGACTTCCTAACCCCTAAACCGATCTGGGTGATTTTTGGATATGTTGTTCACCCAGATCGGGGCTATCAGGGGATGTGACTGCATGGATATGTTGTATTTTGGGGTACTTTTTGGGGTTTGTAAAACTGTATGTTTTTTTCTGTTTAGAGTTAATTAAGTTAGCATATTGTCTTTGCTAATTGTATCACAGGCAGAAGGGAGGGATTGTGTGCTGTAAGTGGGAGTGTTGGACATTGTTGGATTGTTCTGATTGGTTTGTGTGCCTGTGTTCCATCAGGTCCAGGGGGTGTGCCTCTGGCCTGAGGAATTGTATATAAGCAAACCTGTACCAATAAAGCCTCAGACTTGTTCTACCCTTCATGAAGTCTTGGCTCATGTTTGGGGGATTGGAGAACTACTTACACTCCCCAGAGCATAATCACTAAGCTCTTTTAAGAGCTGTTGCTGTTCCTGTTGCTGTTCTCTTTTAAGAGCTGTTGCTGGTCTACCTACTGGAAGCTGGATCCTGTTCTTGGGTCCAGAGTGGGTGGAAGACAGCGAGACTCCTACTAAGCTGCGGCGGTTCATGGGGTCTGCGGTGGTTATGGTGCTTGGAGCCCTCGGGAAGCACCAGGAGCATCCGTCAATGGAGGTACCCAGTCGGGGTGCCAGGCGATCCGTTACACCCAGCATCAAGAGGCTGTACACCAGACCAAAGTAATGAGGTAGGGCCTGATGACCATCAAGGCCACAGTCCTGGATGAAACACAGAGCATCCACGAAGATAGCTCCCAAAGAGGAACTGCTAAGGGAATTTGCCTCAGACAACAACAGATAGAAGATGCCGAAAAGGAAGAGGCTCCAAGGCAAGATAAACCTCTCCATGGGGTGTACCACTGGCAGATAATGGCAGTGGCTCACATAACAAATCCTCCGTCGGCACCTGGGGCTGGGCAGAGAGCTGTGTGTGCTGGCGGCCGCAGGGGGAGCTTTCTGTGCTGGCAGCCACAGGGAGAGCTGTCTGTGCTGGCAGCCGTAGGGGGAGCAGTCTGTGCTGGCAGCCGCAGGGTGTGCTGTGCTGTCATTGCTCTGCTTCCCCGCCCTCAGGTGCTACTTAATGAGACCTCATTAACAATTGCAGCCACCAGCAGAGAGTGTGTGTCTGTCTGTCATGGTTTATGTGTGTCTGTCTGTGTCATGGTGTGTGTGTGTCTGTGTCATGGTGTGTGTGTTTGCCTGTGTCATGGTGTGTGTGTGTGTCTGTCTGTCTGTGTCATGGTGTGTGTGTGTCTGTCTGTCTGTGTCATGATGTGTCTGTGTCATGGTGTGTCTGTCTGTCTGTGTCATGGTGTGTGTGTCTGTCTGTGTCATGGTTTCTGTGTCTGTGTCATGGTGTGTGTGTGTGTCTGTCATGGTATATGTGTGTCTGTATGTGCTTAAAAATAGTGGTTTAGGGGCGGGCCTAGCAGCCAAGCTGAACGGCCGCACGTCGGATGAGCTCCATGCTAAAAAAGCCTAAATTAAGCTCAAGCCACCACATTCAGCCCTAGCATTGCCTGCTTTTTAGCCTATGAGACAAGGGCTTACCACAGCGGCAGTGCACAATCAAGTCCGTGGCCAAAAAACAGCTACGACTGTCAGGGTCTTACCTGAGTTGGGAGTCTGTAGCGCAGATTTGATGCTCACCCTTGCAAATAGCCACAGGCCAAGGTGGTCAAGTAAGAATTCACCTGGCCTGTGGATCTGTGCACGGGGGCTGTGCAGGATAATTCTCCAAGTCGCAGTACAGGAACGGATAAAGCAGGAGAATAGTCGTGGGTAAGCCAGAGGTCAGAGGGTGCCAAAAATCAGGATTAACGAGAAGAAAGCCGAGGTCAGAGGATGCCAGAAGTCAGGATATACGGAGTAACAAGCCAAGGTCAGGAATCAACATGAGCACACTGGAACACAATACTGAACCAGAGTCAAGGAACTGACCCTGCCTACTGGGAGAGGCAGGGTTATAGACCTGGCTGATGAGACCATCAAAATCAGGTATACCATGAGAGACAGGAGAAACTTCAATGTATGTCCAGCCCCTAGTGCTGGTTACAAGACAGGGCTAGATACTGGCATTACTAAAGCTTCCCATTACTAAAGCTTCCCACTGAAAATCCCCCTCTCCTCAGAGAAATCATTACCCCTCCTGGGCGACAGCACCACACTGGAAGCCCTCTGGCTCCCAGGCATGATCCAGTTCTGAACTGCTACCTACATGCGCCGTGGCGCGACAAGGGATCACCAATCTTCTTCAGAGGTTTCCAGCCACCGCAAGCTTCCCCACCAGGGACAACGAGCCCATGACATGCCCGTCACAAGACAGGGGCCTTATGCTACCAAACCCTATGAACGCATTCCGGCTGGGAACTGGAGGGACACAGACTGGGGACACCCCCACCGCTTGCTGTTTCGGGCACCAACGCTACTGCTGATGGGGATTGGTTAAACCTAAAGCTAACCACACAGCTTGGAATTCGTGTCACTTGCCATGGAAGCTGCACACTATGCCCAACACAATGTGTGCACTCAACTTATGCCTGCACCATACTAGCAAACACCATATTTTATATAATTATTGGCTCTAGCTTAGTCCTAAAAATTGCAGAAGTCTTAAAGCAATCTTCATCATACCTCTCTCTCATGCATATTCTGCAATAGCAACATTTTAATCTTTAATGCTAATCATATGTTATCGTTCTATCTAATCTTGTTCCTTACCTTTCCTGATAAGCAGAACAGAAGAAAATCTTTGACAAGTGACATTACATAGTTACATAGTTACATGGACATTAATGTATAAAAATGTGCTAATGCCTAACTAATGTAAAACAATGTTAGAAAAACTGCTTAGCCTAGCCATCGTGGCATTGTAAGTCTGATGTGATTTATCTTTGCACAAATAAAATAAAGAATTTATTTAAAAAAATATTGTTTTTACTCACCTTTCCCCCCCTCGAATGGCCCTGCTTGATGATCTCAGCCAATCCAATGCTTTGCCATAGGATTGGCTTCAAAACACTACACCAATCAGCATCTCCTCATAGAGATGCATTGAATCAATGTATCTCTATGGGGAACGTTCACCGCCTCCAAGGCGTGGAGGCCCTAAATGTAGGTGCTGCACACTGTGCAGCAGTGACATAGGAAGCACCTCTAGTGACCGTCAGAGTGACTGTCACTAGAGGTGTCACAAGGAAGCAAAGTAAACACTGCCTTTTCTCTGAAAAGTCAGTGTTTACATTGAAAAGCCTGTAGGGACATGCTATAGACACAAGAACCACCACATTAAGCTGTGTGTGTTTGTGCGCCTGCTAGTGAGTGAGCTTGCTTGCATGTGTGCCTGCTAGTGAGTGAGCTTGTGTTTTTATGTCAGTGAGCTAATATATCAGTGAGATTGTTTGTCTATGAGGCTGTGTGTCAGTGAGATTGTCTGTGTCTGCATGTGAGTATGCTTACTGTATAATTAAACGTTTTACTCAGAAAGGACCAATATTTTATATTAGAAAAAGCAATATATCTTATATATATTACTCAACCATCTGGGGTGGCAAGACATAGCCTTACATATTACATGTGACAATATATGGTGCAATGACTTATGGGGCTGGCATAGATTTTTTTTTCCAGGGCTGTTTTGTATCCCCTCCGGACTTATTTGTTCATTGATTTTCCGTGTTGCTCTTCTTCTTAGACATGATTTCCTGGTACTGTTATATTCCTTAATGTTGCTTTTTTCTGGAAATGCCTTGCTTTTAGGTGGGTTTTACGCGTCCCGAAGAGTAACTCTTTCTCATTATAATGGTCCTGTGTGACCTAAAAATGGTTGTTGACTTGGACCTGCGTGTCCACTGGTGTTATACTACATGCTTCATTGTACAACCAATAAAAACCTTATTCACAAAAAAAAAAACACAAAGAAGAATATGGGCTGGACCTGCAAAGTCCAGTTGGAAGATACCACAAAGGGTAGTTGAGAATGACAGGATAACAATGAGTGGCCACCCAACCCGACATCGTGGTGGTAGACAAGGAACGGAACACTGCACTAGCGGTGGTTTGGCAATACCCGGTGACCATAACATTAGGAAGAAGGAACATGAGAAAATGGACAAATGCCAAGGTCTGAAGGGGGATCAAGAAAGGATGTGGAAAATGAAGTCAGTAGTAGTCCCAGTGGTGATAGGAGCATTCGGAAAACCTAAAATACTGTGCAGAATTCTTTCATGTAGAATGTTTGGCTCTGCACCAAGTTACACATTTACTGTGTTTTATCTGTTGACCATCTATGTATTGTGTTAGAACTGTAGCTGGAAACATGTTTATATTGAGTAAAAAAATTATTTTATTAGGGTTACTTGTATAACCAGCTTAGAAAACTTACCGTATATCATGTGCATTAGTGTTTATTTGTAGAAACAGGTGTCATTTTTCCGTGGGCGGTTTATTTAGGAGCGTTTGATTTTTTTTTTCCTCAAAAGTCACTGTTATCAGAGTTCAAACTAATAAAATGAATCAGGTTTCAAATTTAGGTAGAAACAAGGTCAGGGTGCAGCCCCCCACCAATCGACCTTTACCGTACAATCTCCTTGTTTTAAAACTTGTTCAACCACAATTTACAGACACATCGATACTTCAGCAATGATCACATGTCTCTTCAGCAAAGTAAAAGGAAAGTTATGTCGAGCCTGTGAAGGGATTTGTAGGAGTAACATTGTCATATCTATGACATCATCTAGGACACCTATTACTTCATACTGTATGCAGGACAAACTACTGAGTCTGGGAAATCCTTCATCAATTTGATTTGCCTTAAAATTGTCCATCCACCAAGCATCTGTCAGTCCAGTCACACAGCCACCCATTGATATCCAGTCACCTGCCAATCCATTCAACCAAGACATCGTCACACTCCGTCACACTCCATTATTTCCCTCTCGGAGCCACTCGCTTGTCCAACATATATTCACCAATTTATCCTTTTACTCTTCCATTTACCCATCTGGAAATTCACACTGGCATCAATCCATCATTGTCATTACATTGTTAGTTATTACTGTGTACAGGTATAGTGATTACAGTATGTAGGTTCTGTATTAGACAGTTATTACAGTATGTAGGTTCAGTGTTAGTTATTACGCTATGTAAGTTCTATGTTAGACAGTTATTACGGTATGTAGGTTCAGTGTTACAGTTATTACAGTATGTAGGTTCTATGTTAGACAGCAGTTACACTATATACGTTTTATGTTAGACAGTTATTACAATATGTAGGTTCAGTGTTAGTTATTACGCTATGTAAGTTCTATGTTAGACAGTTATTACGGTATGTAGGCTCTGTATTAGACAGTTATTACGGTATGTAGGCTCTATTAGACAGTTATTACGGTATGTAGGCTCTGTATTAGACAGTTATTACGGTATGTAGACTCTATTAGACAGTTATTACGGTATGTAGGCTCTGTATTAGACAGTTATTACGGTATGTAGGCTCTATTAGACAGTTATTACGGTATGTAGGCTCTGTATTAGACAGTTATTACGGTATGTAGGCTCTATTAGACAGTTATTACAGTATGTAGGTTCTATGTTAGACAGCAGTTACACTATATACGTTTTATGTTAGACAGTTATTACAGTATGTAGTTTCTACGTTAGACAGTCGTTAACTATATACGTTTTATGACACTTGTTACAGTCTTTTTTTAGTTCTCAGTTATTAGTGCATATTGTTACATTATTACAGAATATTATTACAATTAGATTATTACCGTTATTATAGAATATATTTTTGATTCTTTTATTTATTTAATAGCTTTTGTTATTTTATTACAATATTTATGGCTTTATGCAACATACGTAAATGTTATTCCCAAATAAACGACATTTGTGGCCAGGTATTAGGTTTTGAATTAAAAATAAAACCCCCTGTTTAGTGAAAAGCTCGTTGTTTTGTTTTGTTTTACTTATTTTATTATTTCGGAGTTTTATCTCTCTAATTATTTTTATTTATTGTCCGTGCCCCATGAATCCTGTTGCCACAAGTGCGTTCTGGGTTATACGTTGGGCGTTCTCAAAAAGCATTTTCTGTGAAATCATTTATTTTTAGTTTGTTGCGTATTCAACATGAAGCTGCAATAACCAGAAATATCCAGATTCACCACGCTTTTTCAAAAATTTTGTTTCCTTGGGCAGAATGACATAAAGACATAGAGAAGGTCGCGTTGACAAGAGCCCTCGTGGCTTCAATGGCAAGCTGTAGATTGATTCAGAAAATGATACAATAAGTAGGAAATATGAGCATTTAGCGGTTGTAACTAAATAATAAGTCAGTAGATAGCAGTTAACACTACATGGACACTACCCAAAATTACACAAAACACCAAAATGGCAAAAACGTACTGTTTACATGATAGGTATCTGCGAGCGTTGTCACGTTAACCCGCGGCAACGCTTTACAGCCGTGGCTCGTGAGAATGCCGGAGACGGAAGTCAGTATATACTGGGCCCTGTTTGAAAGTCTGCAGGGCCCGCAGGGGCGGTGCTTGCTATATATATATGCACATTGTAGGGCGGGGGGCCCGGACAAGCAAAGGATTACTAGTGCAGGCTGGGCCACCCAGGACCGCGGGCCTGTGACAACCGTCATGGTTTTCATCTCCTGATGGGGGCCCTATTTGTTTCAATGGAGTTGTTGCAAAAATGTTTTTGTTAATTTGTGAAATTCTCTCTTTTAGTGTACAGGTCCTACTTAAAGGAACACTATAGTGTCGGGAATACAAATGTGTCTAAAAAACTGTTTAGCCTTCACCGTGTGGGAAGGCCGCAGCTGGCCCACCCGCAATTCGCCTCTTGGCTGAGCTTATTAAATTTGATAATCTCATCCAATCCAATGCTTTCCCATAGGAAACTGTCATAGGAAAGCATTGGGAGGCTCTTGCGCATATGCAGCAAATGCAGTTCTGCACCAATCTGCATCTCCTCATAGATTGAATCAATCCATCTCTATGGGAGGGTGGGGGGAGGGCAGTTTAGAATCTCCATGCAAAATGTGGAGATGCTGGACATCACATGCAGCACTGATCAGGGAAGTGCCTCTAGTGGCTATCTGAGTGCCACTAGAGGTGTCCCTAGGCAGTGTTTACATTAAGCTGTAGTTGTTCTGGTGACAATAGTGTCCATTTAATAAACACAATTTTCTTTATTTAATGACATTACAAAATTATATAAATATATGCATGGCCAATGCAAGCAGCAATCTGGCCCTCTTCATTAACATAACCGTACAAAGATCAAGAGGTCATGAGACTTGTTAAGAAGGAAAGAAAGGGTTCTGTACAGTGAGAACAATATGATGTGACATTTTCTGCAATGTATTTCCAAAACGCTTGCATGTATCAAAGCCGTATATTCGGGGTCATAATAACCGATATAAAACATTGTCACAAC